TGACATCCAACTGTACATCTCCTTTAAGCCCCATGAGATGTCTAAGCTGCAGCTGTTACACACCTGCTTAGACTATTAAAACCTGGATGGCCAAACCCTCCGTCAGTAATCTTGGCGTGACCTTTGACCCAGCTCTCACCCTGAACTCTCATGTCAGTTCTCTTGTTCGCTCTTCCTTCTTCCATCTCAGGAACATTGCTAAGCCGAGTCCCATTCTGTCCCACTCTGAACTTGAGACAGTTATCCACACCTTCATCTCCTCACGCTTAGACTACTGTAACTCTCTTTTCACGTCGTCGTCATCTTCCTCTGCTTATCCAGGTCCGGGTCGCGGGGGCAGCATCCCAACTAGGGAGCTCCAGACTGTCCTCTCCCAGGCCACCTCCACCAGCTCTTCCGGCAGGACCCCAAGGCGTTCCCGGACCAGATTGGAGATGTAACCTCTCCAATGTGTCCTGGGTCGACCCGCGAGCCTCCAGCCAGCAGGTCACGCCCGAAACACCTCTCCAGGGAGGCATCCAGGAGGCATCCTGACCAGATGCCCAAACCACCTCAACTGACTCCTTTCGATCCAGAGGAGCAGCGGTTCTACTCCGAGCCCCTCCCGAATGTCCGAGCTCCTCACCCTATCTCTAAGGCTGAGCCCGGCCACCCTACTGAGGAAACTTATTTCGGCCGCTTGTATCCGCGATCTCGTTCTTTCGGTCATTACCCAAAGCTCATGACCATAGGTGAGGATTGGGACGTAGATCGACCGGTAAATCGAGAGCCTGGCTTTCTGGCTCAGCTCCCTCTTCACCACGACAGATCGGTTCAGCGTCCGCATCACTGCAGACGCTGAACCAATCCGCCTGTCGATCTCCCGATCCCTCCTACCCTCACTTGTGAACAAGACCCCGAGATACTTAAACTCCTCCACTTGAGGTAGGACCTCTCTCCCGACCTGGAGTAGGCAAGCCACCCTTTTCTGGTCGAGAACCATGGTCTCAGATTTGGAGGTGGTGATCCCCATCCCAGCCGCTTCACACTCGGCCGCAAACCTACCCAGCAAGAGCTGAAGGTCAGAGCTGGATGAAGCTAGGAGGACCACATCATCAGCAAAAAGCAGAGACGAGATTCTCCTGCCACCAAACTCGACACACTCCACACCATGGCTGCACCTAGAAATTCTGCCCATAAAGGTAATGAACAGAACTGGTGACAAAGGGCAGCCTGGCGGAGTCCAACCCTCACCAGGAACAGGTCCGACTTACTACCGGCTATGCGGACCAAACTCACACTCCTCTGGTAAACGGACTGAATGGCCCTTAACAGAAAGCCACCCACCCCATACTCTTGGAGCATCCCCCACAGGGTGCCCCTGGGGACATGGTCATAAGCCTTCCCCAAATCCACAAAACACATGTGGATTGGTTGGGCAAACTCCCATGCACCCTCCATCACTCTTGCAAGGGTATAGAGCTGGTCCACAGTTCCACGGCCAGGACGAAAACCACATTGCTCCTCCTCAATCTGAGATTCTCTTTTCACATGTCTGAGCAAAACCTCCCTGAACCGTCTACAGGTGGTTCAGAATGCCTGTGCTCGGCTTCTGACCAAGTCCTCCAAACACACCCTATCACCCCGCTTCTCCCCCAGCTTCACTGGCTGCCAGTCAACTTCAGGGTTCATTTCAAGATCCTGGTTCTGGTCTATAGGGCCTTACATGGACAAGCACCATCTTACATTGGTGATCCTCTCAGTCCCTACACCCCCAGCAGGTCCCTGAGGTCCAGTGATCAAAGCCTACTAGTTGTGCAGCACCAGGCTAAAGACCAAAGGTGACAGATCATTTGCTGCTGTGGCCCCCAGACTCTGGACCTCTCTCCCCCTGAGTCTGAGATCAGTGGACTCAGTGGTCTCCTTTAAAAAGCAGCTGAAGACTCACCTGTTCAAGCTGGCTTTTGTATGATCTTCTTCACCCTCTCCTTGTTCTGCTCTCCCCACCTTCCTAAGGATCCACTGATTTCCCTCTTTCCTATTCACTCTCACTTTCTTAACATATTTTAATCACAATTGTCTATTTTTGCTCATTTTAAATATATTTTTAACCATTTTCTAAATTCTTTTTTATATTTTAACATTTTTTGTTTTTGTGAAGTGACTCGTGATTTTTATCTTGAGGCGCTATAGAAATTATATTTTCTTCTTCATTTCCAATACAAATGCATGTTAATGAAATGCATTACATTTTACTGGATATATTTATGTGTTATTTTGACTAAGATGAGTGTTATTACTACAAACCTAAAATATTACTGAAATGTGGGTCAAATATTTAAAAATATGGGAAGGGAAAAAGGGAAACTAAACACCAATCTAATGCATATTATTGAGCCTTTCATAATAAGAGTCTGTTATTTCAGCCTGGTCATTTTGTTGTTTTCATATTTTTTAGTAGCAAACCATTTTGTTTAACTTGAAACGTCAAATGGAATATTCTACTAATCAAAAGAAGCTTAGATTAGAACACTTAACGAAAAAATATTTTGCCTTTAAAAAAGTGAAGCAGTTGAATACATGAGTATGCTGGCGCAGGGTCAGGATGGTACCACCTTGGCCTAAATTTAAACCAGGAAAAAACTCTGCCATATGGAAGTCACTGTTTTTGATCACTAATCATGAGCTGCATAATAAATAAATGGCTGGATCCCATCAAGATTCTATTCGTTTATTATGGACTGTCGAGGGCAGTTACATGCATCCCTAAAAGCCGTCCCCATAAAAGGACTGACCAACGCCCGGAACACACCAGCTGCAAAGCGCCGCGAAGCGGATCGCTCACTAGATTTGCGCGACACTTTTTGCTCCTCTGTTCACAGGCGAGAATTTCTGACGAGTGCTTCTGGTCCCGCTTACTGTTTTCCAACCCGTCACTCCCATGCCCTTGCTGTGTGCTTGTGACATCAGAAACTGCACTGATCATTTTATGTTTTATTATTTTCTGCATTAAACAGAATTTGGTTCAGGCTCCAACATTTCTGAAATTAGACTATTGGGTTCAAACTTTTTTTTTTTTTTTACCGTGTCCTGTCTGGCTGTGAAGCAAGCAGAATTGATGTCTGAATGCTGGTAACAAGCCTTACAGATTTACTCTCAGGTGGAGCATCAAAGCGTTTGCTTTTAATGTCACGCCTGATACTTAAAACTTTTATTGTTATTGTTGTTGAATGCTTTGTAATCCCGACCAGACACGGAGACAGAGGTGAAAGAGAAAGGAAAAGGTGGGGAGAGAAGAGGGGGGGGGTTCCCCACAAAAATAAACAACGAACAAGAGTCTGCTTCTAGACCTGCAGAAAAAGACAAAAAAAAAAGGCAAAAGGACAAAAAGAAAAAATGGGACACAACAACAATACAACAAGATCTAGCTATCACTGCGTCAACTTGATGAAAAAATATATAATCAACATTGCTTAACTGAAGAATCACGATAATAAATCACAGTGCATTAAGTGCCCACCATAGTCTTAAGACATGTGTTTAACGTGCCCAAGCCCATACTTATGAGAGCACCATGTGAGCACCTGTGTGTGTACACGAGCTTGTTTATGTAAGGTTTCTCTATAGGAGCGTCCAACAGAGAGTGTGAGTGACCACAGATCCGCCCCCCAAAGATGCGCAGGAGACGGGGGGAGCTCCAAGTCCCAGAGATCCAGGCGCTGCCCCAGAACACAGGAACCCCAAGGAGACTGCAACCAGAAAGGCCCCCGCCCCCCTCGAGAGGCACAGAGGATCGCCCCGGGGGGCCACAACCAGCAGCCGGCAGAGTCCCGGGAGACATCAGCGGCAAGCCCACAGGCCCGCCCGCAGCCTCACACCCCCTAGCCGGCCGAGCCCGGGACCCAGCAACCCGGGACCCAGGGGCAACCACCCCCGCCGGGGACCCAGCAGAGCCCAGGGACCCAGACCCCACCAGGCAGCCACCGGGATCTATCAGGCAGATGCAAAAATCTTAAACCCCCAGACCCGGTTGCCACGAACACTCAGGAAGACCAGGGCAAAACCCCTCACACCGGGTGTGGCAGGGGGAGGGGGGACAAAGATCTATATCATCAAGAGAAGTTCCAGGAGAGGGGAGGAGTCAAAGGCCCCACCTGACATATACACAGGTGCCAGCAGTATTTAGTCAGCCACGGCAACAGCCATTGGGTTCAAACTAAGCCAAAGATTTCATTTTGTGTTATTTATTTCTTACGCCCTTGAACTGCAGCATAAGTATTTGACTCTAAAGCTGGTCAAAGACATTAAAAGCTAATATATGTGGATTTTATTCCCTAAATTAAAGGCAAGAATTGGACATGTCCTACAGGTTTTCAGCAGAGCATGTTTTTCCCAGCCCGAGATGTTGAATGAGAAAACTGATTTTTTTTCTTAAATGTTTAAAATGTTTTCACTTTTACGTTGTCCAAAGGACTGTTGTGACTGAAGAGCTTTTGGGGGGATGGCATATTATGTCAGACAAGTTTGTGATAAAAAAAAAGCAAATATCTGACATCTTCTATTTATCGATGAAAACAAATCCATGTGAACTAATTGTGATGCATCGATATATGGAAGTGCTTCCCCAACAGGCTCCAGCACCACGACTACAGGCACAAAAGACCAGCAGGGCAGAGTCTCCACTCAGGTCAGGACAGAACCAGAACTTCTCCACAGTTCACTGTCCTTTGTGTTTGTTGAGCAGCTCAGCACACCTCATTGAGTTTTTATTATGAAGAACTGAAAAATGATGGAATGTGGTATCAGAGACTTATAAACACTCTCCAGCAGATAAAAAAGTGGATTTTATTATTATAACAAGGATTATTAAGACCATGAACCAAAAACGGGAATATTTTGCATATATTGGTGAATATTAAGCATGTTTTGGAATGTTTTTGGCTTCAGACCGCTTCGTGGAGCACAAAAGTGCAGCTTCAGTGAACCAAAAACCAGGATAACTGAGCCTTGAGGCTACATACCTGTCGGAACTTGGAGCGGAGCTTCTCTGTGCCATCCTGGAGCTCCACAGACTGAGGATCAGCAAGAGGAACGGTTTGGATCACAGCCAGGAGAGACTCCAGAGCCTTCACTCGCTTCCTGGAAACATCCACAACGCAAGGTGAACTTTCTTCAGCTAAACCTAACATTAACCCAGAGCAGGTCACAACCTAGCACGTTCCCCTGGGACAGAAGACTGAACGAAAACAATCCAGTCATTCAGACTCATTTTCAAAGAGCTAAATCCTTATTCTGGATTATATGACTTTTCTAATTATTTAAACAGAAATGGGAGGCCGTTCTCTTTATACCTCTACAGTAATTGTGCTTAATGCAGCAATTGTTAGTTTTATAGTAAGATTTGGAGTGTGAAACATCTTTCTACACGTCTTGTTTTGGCTCAAATCCCCACTAGAGCGGAGCTTAGACCAGTGGATGTTTGGTGTGGCTCGCTGGGTGGATCTGTATGGCTTGCTCCAGTTTGAGTAGGTAACATATGGCTGTTGTGTCTCACTTGTAAGTCGCTTTGGACAAAAGCGTCTGCTAAATGCATAAACATTGTTGCTAATGGTGCTAACTGGCTTGTTTGCAGTGAAACCACATGCTGATTCCACATTATTCAACAGAAATGGCTTTCTACAAGCTTCCTTTTGTTCCACCAGCCTCTACAGCAGCAGCTTTGTTTCTCTTTTGTGGTGGGTCCGATAGTCCAGGGTAGAGGGCTGCATTGGGATTGGGTCCTGCCGGGTCCCGCGGGACCCAACACAAATCTCGCGGGAGCGGGCGGTTTGAATTTTGCTGCGGGTGGGAACGGTCGGTTAAAAAAAACAGTGCGGGATCGGGATAAGCATGATGGAGTCGGCAACTGACGTTGAAAGGAAGCTAAAACAAGGTCTTTATGACACGAAAATCAAGCAAGGCAAGTCAGACATTTGGAGGAGTTTCTCAATTGTTTGTGACAAAGCTGGAAACGAATTGGACTTTGCCAGTTGCGACAAATGCGCGAAAATACTCGTCTACAACGGACACAAATCCGGCACCTCTGGGTTGAGGCGGCACACCTGCTCTGTTCTCCCCGGTCAAAGTAAGCTGCTTTTCAAGGATAAACCACTTCTCCCTGCACAAATTAAACAAGAAACTGCTGAGAAATGTGTGGAAGTGTGCTGCGCAGACATACGGCCGTATGATTTTGTTGCCGGGAAAGGCTTTGTTGACATAGCGCAACATTTTGTTAATGTTGCCGCTAAATATGGCAAACTTGATGTAAAAGATATGTTGCCTCATCCAACCACTGTATCCAGACATGTCGAGGGGCGAGCAACAGCGCTGCAGGAGTCAGTGGCAGCGGAGATAAGGCCCATCATTGAAACATACGGATGCGCCATCACAACAGATATCTGGACGGAGGATTATCATAAAACGTCATTTATATCCGGCACCATCCATTATGCAAACAACGACTTCAACCTAGTTTCCAGGGTGTTATTTGCTGCTCCGTTCGAGAGTGGTGTGTCACAAACAGGGGAGAATATCAGGAACCTGCTCTTCCAGAAACTCTGTAAGTTTGGAATAGATGCGACACTTCTGTCTGGCCGTGTTGTGTTTGTCACCGACCGTGGAGCCAACATAGTTGCTGCCCTGCGTGGATACACAAGGCTGAACTGCAACGCGCACATCCTGAACGTCACTCTGTCTAGTGCATTTTCACCAGGCGTGTTGGATGAAACTGCTGAGCTGTCTGAACTGTTGACCAATGCAAAAAAACTGGTGAAATATTTCAAACATTCAGGTCTGCAAAACAACTTGAAAAAATCTCTCAAGCAGTCAGTCGAGACCCGATGGAATTGAAATTATGACATGTTGGATTCCATACTTCAACAGCATGAGGAAATCTCCACATTACTGCTGAGCAATAACCAATATGAAAGAATTGTGCAGATCAATGGAAACACTCTGAAAACAGTAGTTGCATTTCTTAAGTTATTTAAGGATGCTACTAATGACCTAGAATCCGACAACTCCACTCCCAGCGCATCACTTCCACTGCCGTGGTCTGTGAGACTCATTGAACACTGCCAAGCTGCATCCCACGAGCCCTTGCTCTCTAAAGTCGCCAATGTGTGTGCCTCACGTCTGGAAGAACTTATGGGCACCAGTGACACATCTGCATCCCCTCTCCACATGATGTACAGGATTGCAACACTGCTGACTCCTAAAATGCGACTGCTACGGATGCTGCCCTCAGATGCAAGAGAAGATGTAATTAAAGGTATGCTGCCTAGCTTTTTATAAAAACAGAAAATGGCATGCAATGCAGTTATAATTAGGCCCGAGCAGTGAAGCTGCGAAGGCCTATTGTATCTGCTCCGTTTATTATTATTATTAGGCCCGAGCAGCGAAGCGCTGCGAAGGCCTATTGTATCTGCTCCGTTTCTTTTTTTTTTAGGCCCGAGCAGCGAAAGCGCTGCGAAGGCCTCTTGTTTTTGCTCTGTTTATTTAGGCCCGAGCAGCGAAAGCGCTGCGAAGGCCTCTTGTTTTTGCTCTGTTTATTTTTATTTATTATTCTTAGCCCGCTTTGAATGGCTTTTTGGGGACCTTATCATACCCCAAAACTCACAATATTTTGCAAAGATGTCAGGCCTGGTGAAAAATTTGATATTTTAATAGTCCCAAAAAAATTGCAAAGAAAATGGCTGAACAGCGCCCCCTAGAAAGTGAAAAAAACCCTTCTCCATAAAGCTTAGTTTATCGTACAATTATGAAATTTGGTACACTTGTAGTACTCACCAGTCCGCACAGAAAAGTCTCTTGCAAGCATGGTCAATATCAAACAGGAAGTCGGCCATTTTGGGTTGAAATGGCGATTTTTAGCCGTTTTTGCCGTTTTTAGGGTCCGTTTCTGATTGGATTGCTCGATAAATTTTCGCACCATCATCTCAAAAATTGTGTCAAATTGCTCAGAAGGGATGGCCGAACAAAATGAGATGAGGATTCTGAGTTTTCGTATATGTTGAAGGGGCGGGGCCAGGCCTCAAAATTTGACTACTCGCCAAAAAAATTTAAATTGCTATAACTTCATAACTGAATAAAATAGAGTTACAAAACTTTCTGTGGTCATTCGTCATCCACCCACAAAGTAAATTGAATGGTCGGATGATGACATCACTCAAGCCCCGCCCCCTCAGGACCAAAAAGATCAAGTTTTACTGTGAAAGGTCCCAAATTGCCCCATTTCACTTAATCACCACGAATTTGTAGCTGGTAACTCAAGACAAGTGGGGGTTGCTTGGCGTCACTTTATGGGAGTTTTCGGCAGAGGGCGGGGCTGTGGCGGCGCGGCGAAGTCAGGCGTACCGCCGTGGCCTTACGTTTGCCTCCCATTTCGTCATTTCTAAAGATATCGTCACGAAACTTCTTGTGAGTGATCCTAGTCCGGCCCCCCAAAAGATCTGATGTGAACATCCGGTGGGCGTGGCCTATTTTCTGAAATAGCGCCCCCTAGGACGATTAAAACTGTCAGCCCCAAGCCATGCTTTGACTGAGGATTACGAAATTTGGTACACTAATGTGGTGTCTAAGGACCTACAAAAAAGTCTCTTGGAGCCAAGTGCAAAGTCGCACAGGAAGTCGGCCATTTTGGTCCAAGTGTGCGATTTAGTGGTTTTCACACACGTTGTTTGGAGAGTGATGCTCCGTCGCCCTTTTCACCAATCGTCTTCAAACTTCTGCTATATACTCTTAAGACATAGAGGAAAAAATTCAACCGTCGGATTTTAAATAAGTATAAAGGTGTGGGCGTGGCTAAGCCTCAAACATTGACCTTTCGCCACGCCACTCTTTTTTTCACAGCTCCCTATTGGACCCATTTTACCCAATCACCAGTAATCTCTGGTAAATAGCAGCAGACAAGTTGAGGTCACTTGGTCTCCAGTACTGGAAGGTTTTGAGAAAAGGCGGGGCTTTGGGAGCATGGCGAAATTCGCCATCACGCCATGGAGATACGTTTGCCTCTCATTTCTTCATTTATCGTGATATCACCTCGAAACTTGTTGTGAGTGATCCTAGTCGAACCCCCAATAGAAATGGATGGCTGAAGTTTGTGGGCGTGGCCTATTTTCTGAAATAGCGCCCCCTATGACCATTAAAACTGTCAGCCCCAAGCCATGCTTTGACTGAGGATTGCAAAATTTGGTACACTAATGTGGTGTCTCAGGACCTACAAAAAAGTCTCTGGGAGCCAAGTGCAAAGTCGCACAGGAAGTCGGCCATTTTGGTCCAAGTTCTCGATTTAGTGGTTTTCGCACACGTTGTTTGGACAATGATACCCCGTCGCCCTTTTCACCGATCACCTTCAAACTTCTGTTATATTTTCTTAAGACAAAGGGGAAAAAATTCAACCGTCGGATTTTAAATAAGTATAATGGTGTGGGCGTGGCTAAGCCTCAAACTTTGACCTTTCGCCATTACATTACTTGACTTAACAACTCCAATGTGCATGATCAGATCTATATCAAACTTTGTCCGTGTGATCAATGACCAAATCTCAAGACAACGTCATTGTGGACAGGTGACATCACCTAAGCCCCGCCCCCTGACAACAGGAAGTCTATTGTTTTATGGTGAAATGCCCATATTTGTCCTCCCTAATTTAGTCAACATGACACTAAGGTCAGGCACTGTCTTCATGATGTTGCAATGACCATTCAGATCTGATAACTTTCCAGATAGGGAGGGGCTTTGATGCCATGGCGATTTCTGGCATGACGCCATGACCTTACGTTTGATCGTAACTTCCACAAACAGCCTCCCATCTGCACGAGACTGAACATGGCAATCAACAATCATGCCCTTTAGCCAATGAGACACAAATGGTTGGTGAAATTCGTATAATAACACCACAGCACCCCCTACACAACATTAAAACTGTAATAACTCCTACAGACGAGGTCGTAACTGCACCAAACTTGGTGTGCTCAGAGGGGATGCTCAGTCAGGGTGAGGTGCGGACGAGGTGACCGTTAGCTGTTTCTGGTGTCGGGGTGGTCAAAATTTTTGTTCCACGGACGTAACCTGGTGCCTCGGGCTGCCGGCCAGGCCGG